TAAATTAGTGTTTTGTATCAAAATTCTAGCATTTTATGGAAAGTGAATATTAAATTCAGTTTTGTTTATAAATATTGCGGATGAGAGACAGTGTGTGAGTATATGTTATGTCGAGCTATCAATCCTAAACATATCATAGCGTTATCGATAAATCTCGACTTTTTTGACAATCTTTTCACGAAATGTTAAGCAAAACGAGAGAGAGAGAGAGAGAGAGAGCCTGTGTATGATATGGTGGGAGTGAGAGAGCGATATAAGTTATATTTGCTATAAATCACATCAATTTCTCTCGCAGTCTCTCTCCCAGTGATGTTGCGATCAGTCGGACATCTCATCCCTTAAAGACAAGGATGTGTTTCATCGATATCAAAGTCTCAGCTTTTTATTTGATACTGAACTCAAATCAGTGGTGATGTGATTACAAATTTGTGCACACATTTATTCCCATTACTCGGTCTCCTGTTTAGACCGTTAGAGAGATATCAAAAACTTTTTGGTCTCCTCCTAAACGTCAGGCACTAAATCTCAAGACATTTAAAACCATTTTTCCTCTCCTATCGAATCAATCCTCTGAAGAGTTAAAAGTCTTTAAAACCAGAAAAAGTTTTGTGTATCATATCATATGTGCTGTACTTAGAGAGGCATACATTATAATTATATTGTTTTTAACAAAGTAAATAAAAGTACAGATCTTTAACTTCAGTTATAAAGGCCGGCTGCTAGCGTTAGCAACCCTAATTTAATTAACTTTTATTTCAAAGCTTTTATAGATATATACAGTAAATGTATACAATTTTTATAAAAGCCTTATCTCATAGTCTAGTCGTGTGTAAAATTTATCAAATATAGCGTTGAATTACTGAACAGATAGATATTTGGCGCACACTGTATGGTGTCTATACATGTATAGCATTTTGACCGTAATTTTAATCAATGATTTTTAGCGTCGGTTATTAAACACCGACGAGTAGTAGTATTTATTGGCGGGCAATAAATTGTGTGACACTTTATGTGCCATTTGTTTAAATATATAGATATATTTGGCAATCATTACCTGAATCGTCGACACATTGATATGTCTGTGCGCCCACATATCGGCACAACTCTTTATGTCCTGAACACCAACCGCCACACCCTCTGAGAGAGACAATCGTGTGATTAAATTAATATAAATGTATAAATCATGAATTTGGGTTAGATTTATCGATAACGCTATGATATGTTTAGGATTGATAGCTCGACATAACATATACTCACACACTGTCTCTCATCCGCAATATTTATAAACAAAACTGAATTTAATATTCACTTTCCATAAAATGCCAGAATTTTGATACAAAACACTAATTTAAAATAATATTGATTTTGGCTAGGAACTTTTATTCAAAATCAACATACACTAAATTAACTTTTTGTTAAATTAACCAATCCATTTAGATAGAAATAATGCAGATAGCTGACGTATCGCAGACTTTGTTTTATCAAAACATTAACCAAGAGTATATAAAGTACATATACATATCAAGCCCAAATCATCATTGATTTATCCATGCTAACATTTCTGCACAATTGGTTATTTTGTTTATGTGTTATGTCTCTGTGTTTTTGGGAAACAGAATATTCTGTTATTCAATCCATACATTCATATATACAATAATAATAGAGAGGAATAGAGTTCCGGGAAATTCATATATCGTTTGCAGAGAAGGAGAGAAGGAATCGGAATAAAGAAGAATATATCACATAAAGAGCTAAAAGCGATCGCAAATACAAACACATACACAGAATATGAGCAAAAACTAAAACATTGGGCTTATATTTGCCAGTAATTGTCAGTCAAAAGGCACATAACAGTAAACATATACACGGAATATATATACAGTGCAGCGGAATCTATAGATTTATATATAAAATATAAGTATAAATATAAGTTAATTTGTGTGTTGAGAAAGTGATGCATTGCTTAAATATTTATCATCCAATTAAATGGCATTTATTATATATTGGTTTCATAGCGTTAAATACACAATTAACAGAATATTCTGTTATTCAATCCATACATTCATATATACAATAATAATAGAGAGAGAGAGAGAGAGAGAGCCTGTGTATGATATGGTGGGAGTGAGAGAGCGATATAAGTTATATTTCCTATAAATCACATCAATTTCTCTCACAGTTTCTCTCCCAGTGATGTTGCGATCAGTCGGACATCTCATCCCTTAAAGACAAGGATGTGTTTCATCGATATCAAAGTCTCAGCTTTTTATTTGGTACTGAACTCAAATCAGTGGTGATGTGATTACAAATTTGTGCACACATTTATTCCCATTACTCGGTCTCCTGTTTAGACCGTTAGAGAGATATCAAAAACTTTTTCTGGTCTCTCCGTAAACGTCAGGCACTAAATCTCAAGACATTTAAAACCATTTTTCCTCTCCTATCGAATCAATCCTCCGAAGAGTTAAAAGTCTTTAAAACAGCAAAAAGTTTTGTATCATATCATATGTGCTGTACTTTCTCTCTCCGTATGTAATATTAATATAACAAAAATTGTTTCATTTATTTTCATGTCTAGAAATTGAAGTCAATATTTCCGGCCGACGATCGCAATCGTTGGGATTAAATTAATTGAAAATAAAGTTTCGTTTTATAGATATATAGTAAATATATATAATTTTTATAAAAGCCTTATCTCATAGTCTAGTCGTGTGTAAAATGTATCAAATATAGCGTTGAATTACTGAACAGATAGATATTTGGCACACACTATGGTGTCTATACATGTATAGCATTTTGACCGTACTTTTAATCAATGATTTTTAGCGTCGGTTATTAAACACCGACGAGTAGTAGTATTTATTGCCGAGCAATAAATTGTGTGACACTTTGTGTGCCATTTGTTTATATATATTGGCAATCATTACCTGAATCGTCGACGCATTGATATGTCTGTGCGCCCACATATCGGCACAACTCTTTATGTCCTGAACACCAACCGCCACACCCTCTGAGAGAGACAATCGTGTGATTAAATTAATATAAATGTATAAATCATGAATTTGGGTCAAACAGTGAGACTAAAGCCAGAGAATTAGGGATTGCATGAGAGATAGTGAGAGCTCATGGATGGACATAACAAATAGATAAATATCTACATTTCAGAGAGAGAGAGAGAGAGAGAGAGAGAGAGAGAGAGTAAAATATAAATACATATTTGTGAAAAATGTTTTAATAGAAAAAATATTTTTTTGCATATTTAAATTTATTTACACACAAGAGTACCCATAGGAGAGAGAGAGAGAGAGAGAGAGAGAGAGAGAGAGAATAAACGCTTTTCTAAACAAAAATATTTGTCACAAAATAAAGGGAAAGAAAAGGATAGAAAAAAGTCACAAAATCGTAAGAATAAGAAGAGAGAAAAAACTGTTAGACGAATAACTGAAGCGAAATAAATAGTGATTTTTGTTTAGTTTAGGCATTTCTAGTGTTTAGTAGTGTTTCGCTTATATTCTGGCGACTGTTCTGTTTTGAATGCGAAAAATGTAGTGAACAACAAATGGATGGCCAGAGACTATGAATAAGTTTGTCTCACTGTTTGGCTGTTAGAGTGAATGGGAAAATGAATGAATGAATACAAACCTCGGATCTCTCGGGTCTTTAATTTTGGCACAGAAGGGAACGGCAGCCTTCACTTGAAGCAAACAGATCTCGTTTTGATTGCAGTCATTGCAGGCTCTGTCCGCTATTACAGAGAAGATGGGAGAGAGAAAAAACCATCAGAATATGTATGTTATATACATGTGTAGTAAATAGTTTATATAAAAGTCAATTCATAAGAGATATGAGCAAAGATTTGGTTAAAATACAAACTCAATCACAAGGAAGTCAGTGAAAGACCAGAAGAAAAATCACACAAATTCTGTTTATTCTGTATATTAAGACCAGATTCTGGCACCGATTTTGGTGTCTAAAGTGATTTTCGCGGCCATTAAACTCAATGGGCAGACATTGAATGTTATGCATAATGTTGTTTAAGGCGATAAATATTATATGTATTGCTAAAGCAAATGAATATAATATTTGACGCATTTTTTATATAACTGTATACCGAATGAGACGCCAATACTTAAGCGCTCTTTTATTATGTTTGTCGGAGTCTTATCTCCATATTTCTCATTGCATTTCTGGGAAAATGAATGAATGAATACAAACCTCGGATCTCTCGGGTCTTTAATTTTGGCACAGAAGGGAACGGCAGCCTTCACTTGAAGCAAACAGATCTCGTTTTGATTGCAGTCATTGCAGGCTCTGTCGGCTATTACAGAGAAGATGGGAAAGAGAAAAAATCAGAATATGTATGTTATATAAATGTGTAGTAAATAGTTTATATATAAAAGTCAATTCATAAGAGATATGAGCAAAGATTTGGTTAAAATACAAACTCAATCACAAGGAAGTCAGTGAATGACCAGAAGAAATATCACACAAATTCTGTTTATTCTGTATATTAAGACCAGATTCTGGCACCGATTTTGGTGTCTAAAGTGATTTTCGTGGCCATTGAACTCAATGGCCAGACATTGAATGTTATGCATAATGTTGTTTAAGGCGATAAATATTATATGTATTACTAAAGCAAATGAATATAATATTTGACGCATTTTTTATATAACTGTATACCGAATGAGACGCCAATACTTAAGCGCTCTTTTATTATGTTTGTCGGAGTCTTATCTCCATATTTCTCATTGCATTTCTCTAAAGCAAATGAATATAATATTTGACGCATTTTTTATATAACTGTATACCGAATGAGACGCCAATACTTAAGCGCTCTTTTATTATGTTTGTCGGAGTCTTATCTCCATATTTCTCATTGCATTTCCTTATATATGAAAACTAATACCAAATGAATACTTATATTACATAATGTAGACATCGAAACGAGAGAGAGAGAGAGAGAGAGAGAGAGAGAGAGAGAGTCGATTGTATTGACATTTGGGCAAAACTAAAGGAATAGTACAGAATATTCTGTACGAAAAAACTACTAATATATTGAATGGATTTTTCTGTACTAAAAACATATACACATTCAATACAACTCTAAATTACGAGATAATTTCAAAGCACTTTCTTTCAGTCTATAGAATAAAATATTTACATTTCCTAAAACCTAACACTAAATTGACTAAAACTGTGTTTTATTGTAAAGTAGAGTAACCATCAGTAGTTTAAGTGTTATTAATGTGAGCACATCAATAAATCTACTTTAGAATCCACCTTGGTCACCATGCTTCGCCATAATAACTGTCATAGATATACATCACGATTACAATCAAACAAAAAATACATACTCTGTTCGGCGCCGTAATGTTGAGACGACTCATTACCGGCCGATACTGTCGTTGAATTAACATTATATTCGTGTAGTAATTGTTGTTTAGACGTCGGCTGTTGTTGTTGTGCATCGGAATCGCACCGACAGTCCCTAATCTCCAATTCTTGCTGCTCTTTATGGCTGACTCTACAGATATCGCTGTTAACAATGTCTCCATTCTGTGCCAAACATTTCCTAATTCTGCTGTGAATTCTGCCGGAATCGCACTTATTATTGAGGCCACGACAGGGCGACCACTCCGACCAATTGGACCAAAACGGCTGACCACCGGTCGTGTCCACCCCTCCACCCGCTCGCACATCACTGTCTGTATCACTACTGCCGCCACTTATCAGCACTTTTTCATTGTCTACCACTTTAACCACTTCACTGTCCACTACAACCACTTCTCTGCCCTTATCTCCATCTCTATCCTCATGTTGTTTATGGTGTTGTCGTGACTTGAAGTCGACTTCTGGCTCGTCTTCTTCTCGTCCTTTTAAATAATTAATTTTTCGTTTAGTGACTGAAGAAAAAGCACTAAAACAGTACTAAAACAGTACAAAAAAATACTACACAAATGAAACACAGATATACTGTATAGAGATATACAGTAAAACAATCGACAAAACGACTGAACAATAGTCTTAGCGAAAGAAATAACACACAAAACTCGTCTAACGGACTAATTAATGGCTTTTCTGAATGGATTAGTTTAACAATGAATTAGACTTTGAAGAATGAAAATGTAATTTTTGTTTTGCTTTTTGTTGCTTTGCTTTTTGGGCTAAATGTTAGTCTCGTGTTGTTGTTAAGGGGAGAGAGAGAGAGAGAGAGAGAGAGAGAGAGAGAGTTTAAAAATATATAACTGTAAAGACAATACTCTCGCCTAAATAAGTAAAACTATAAGTTTAACTCTAAAGATATCGATTTGGTTTAGTATTGTTACACACAATACAACTAGTTTTGTGCCCCAAATTCTGGCACCAAAACTAGCATTTGATTACATCTTTCTCTGCCTTTATATTAATTTAATTTTTTTTAAGTCAAAAGTTTAGCAAAAATATTTAATTTCTCGTTCAACCGATTCATACAATTTATGTTTTTCTTGTTTTTATTTTCATGCAAAACATCAAAAAATTTGTTTTTCAATTAAATGAAATATAATATACACACGAAAAACTATTTTAATGCATTTTTTGATCTCTAAAATTCATTAATAATTTTCTCATCATTTAATGCTTTTTTATTTACTATATATTCATAACTATTTTATCATTAATTTTCGCTTTCGTATGTGATATACGATATATAAATGTACTGTATATTCCCGTATATAATAAGGTTTTGAATATTGAGAGAGAGAGAGAGAGAGAGAGAGAGATGAGAGTTTAAAAATATATAACTGTAAAGACAATACTCTCGCCTAAATAAGTAAAACTATAAGTTTAACTCTAAAGATATCGATTTGGTTTAGTATTGTTACACACAATACAACTAGTTTTGTGCCCCAAATTCTGGTACCAAAACTAGCATTTGATTACATCTTTCTCTGCCTTTATATTAATTTTATTTTTTTTAAGTCAAAAGTTTAGCAAAAATATTTCATTTCTCGTTCAACCGATTCATACAATTTATGTTTTTCTTGTTTTTATTTTCATGCAAAACATCAAAAAATTTGTTTTTCAATTAAATGAAATATAATATACACACGAAAAACTATTTTAATGCAGTTTTTGATCTCTAAAATTCATTAATAATTTTCTCATCATTTAATGCTTTTTTATTTACTATATATTCATAACTATTTTATCATTAATTTTTGCTTTCGTATGTGATATACGATATATAACTGTCTGAACTGTATATTCCTGTATATAATAAGGTTTTGAATATTGAGAGAGAGAGAGAGAGAGAGAGAGAGATTAGTTTTGCCGAAAAACTCTTGGTATTAAATATAATACCAAATGTATGTGTTATTCATATACAAAACTAAAAATTTCTAACATATAATCAATCATCAAATTCTTTAGGATTTTCATCACTTTCTCTCTTCAAAGCTGTTTCTCCCAAACACTTCAAACAATCAGTTTTATATATACTTTGCTGTATATTATGATATGTTTTGCATTAAACATAGCATTAATATTAACTTTTAATTTGCAATTCTTGTGTAAAACAACTTTTCATTTTCGTTTAAAATCTAAATATATTAAAGCCAGACATGAGTTCCCCTTTACTCTCACACTCTCTCCCTATCCTTATCTCTATCTTCTCATCCAAAAAGGGTTTTGTATTATTAAATATCATATAATATGAAGACAACTCTCTAAAGGCATCCAAAACTGCATAGAGAGAGAGAGAGAGAGAGAGAGAGAGAGAGAGAGATTAGTTTTGCCAAAAAACTCTTGGTATTAAATATAATACCAAATGTATGTGTTATTCATATACAAAACTAAAAATTTCTAACATATAATCAATCATCAAATTCTTCAGGATTTTCATCACTTTCTCTCTTCAAAGCTGTTTCTCCCAAACACTTCAAACAATCAGTTTTATATATACTTTGCTGTATATTATGATGTGTTTTGCATTAAACATAGCATTAATATTAACTTTTAATTTGCAATTCTTGTGTAAAACAACTTTTCATTTTAAAGCCAGACATGAGTTGCCCTTTACTCTCACACTCTCTCCCTTTCCTTATCTCTATCTTCTCATCCAAAAAGGGTTTTGTATTATTAAATATAATATAATATAAAGACAACTCTCTAAAGGCATCCAAAGCTGCATCTCTCTCTCTCTCTCTCTCTCTCTCTCTCTCTCCCAGTGATGTTGCGATCAGTCGGACATCTCATCCCTTAAAGACAAGGATTTTAGTTTTGTATATGAATAACACATACATTTGGTATTATATTTAATACCAAGAGTTTTTCGGCAAAACTAATCTCTCTCTCTCTCTCTCTCTCTCTCTCTCTCCTCCTTGTTGTTAGTGTTAAACACATAATACAAGCCTTTATTGTCTGCTATTGTCTACTCGTAAAGCGGAGTATTTAGTGTTAAAGACAGTACAAAACTATAAGTATTTATTAAATATAATCTCCTTTTGCTCTCTCTTTCGGAGGACGAAAGGAGAAGAATCAGCTAAAAGAGTAGACAAGAAATATTAAGACCAAAAAAGAGATTAAAAGTATAACAGAATAAGTGAAGAATGGAGTTAAGAATCGGGAGAGAAAGAGGAAGTATATGGCAATTGGAAGAGAGTATAAGAGCAAAAAGGATCTTAGTTGAGATGAGAGAGAGAGAGAGAGAGAGAGAGAGAGAGAGANAGAGAGAGAGAGAGAGAGAGAGAGAGAGAGAGAGAGAGAGAGAGAGAGAGAGAGAGAAGGGATGAGTGAGAGACTGATGATGAAAAAGAAGATGAAAGACGAGTGAGAATGAAAGAGTAAATCCAAAAAGTTTTGCTGCCCTTGTTAGTGGGGCTTAATGACTAATGATGTGCAAAACTGGTAGAGCACACATACATACAGTACACACACAAGTGCTCGTATATGAATTCAGTAAAGAGTACAGTACTTACCAATACTATGTGAGTTGTGGTGTTGGCCTCCATATCCGCCATCATTATCACCACCGCTACTGCCATGAGATCCAATCGGAGACTCGGCGTCTGATCGGCCACTCGCCGGCCACTGTCCACCACCGCTGTGGCCGCCGTTGGACAACAGTGTGGGACCTGAGGCTGAGTCGGTGTCGACTACCGGTGCCAACGGTGTGTGGGTTGTGGTGGCTGTGGATAAGGCTATAAATAATGAACGCGAAGTTTCGTTTAGTTCCCAATTGGACTCAATTCTGGTATTCATATAGGGATCGGAAGATGTAGTTATGGTTTTGTGCATTGATTGTAGCGATAAATCAACGGCTCGTTTGGTATCATTTGCATGCATTGGGGCACTAAATACCGGCTCATTAAACGACATTTCTGTTACACTTTTGACATTCGTTGCCTTTATATCGTTTGTCTCTATTGTCGGTAAAAATTGAGTTCATTTAGACGAGAGAGAGAGAGAGAGAGAGAGAGACCATGAGTTCTTTATCACTCAAACACTATTATGATGTGCACGTCATCTGCGGTGACATTAAGGCCACAACAAATGAAAACCTAAACAAACATTGAGTGAAAACTCAGATCACAATATCCGACACGAACTTATTATACCGTTTTATATATAATATAAGTCTAATATATATAACATATAATATACTGTTAAGTATTAAGAGAGAGAGAGAGCAATGAGAGAGCATTGAGTGAAGGATAAGTAATCCATTATATTCTATGAGCGAAGTCTGCGAAAATCATTAGCAAAAATCATTATCTCTCGCTCTTCTCTCTCTCTCTTAATACTTAACAGTATATTATATGTTATATATATTAGACTTATATTATATATAAAACGGTATAATAAGTTCGTGTCGGATATTGTGAACTATTTATAAATGTTATGGTGTTATGTGTGTTAGACGTTAGAAATATACAGTACATATCGCTATCTCTCAATCCTATCGATAGTTTGTATTTAATAGCAAACCATTAGAAGACATGCCTTTAGTATTAGCGAAATCACGTGCGGAATATTTATTATCACTGATGCCATCATCGGATACACTGGCAATAGCCGTGTTATCACTGCCAACAACAACAACAACACCATCAACACCACCGCCAACAACAGCACCGGCAGCTGCTGTGCCATCGATAGCCTGACGTTTGTGTCTAATATATGCCAATGAGTCCATTGGACCAGAAATTATATCATCTTTAATAATGACAGCATCAGAGCTGCTGTTATAATAGTGGTGGCGATCGGACCCGTGGTATGGCTTATGGCAGTAGTAATAGTGTCGATGAGAAAGTGGCGGCAGTAGTGCCGGAGATAAAGTCTCATTAAAGCGATATAAGTGGAGATCGTTATGCATTTGAAAGCCATCACTAGTTTCATGCAATAAGTTATCGTCGCTTTCGTCGACTGAGTCGATGAGGAAGAAGTGTTGAGCACTTCTTCTTCTTCTTCTCATATCAACGATATTATAATAAAACCATTTTTCAGTCGACTCTCTGTTACCTATGGATAGTTAGGATGAGATGTGCTTTTTTAAGTGAATATAATGTGTCAGTCATTGCAGTGTATGATATATAAGATGTGGTGTTAGTGTGCGGGCAAAAGCTGTGGGTTATTTTAATGTGATGCTGAAAAAAGTGTTCATCATACAATTTTTTTCTGGCGGATAGTTATACTCTATGAGAGATAGTGTGTGAATGAAGGTATGGCAGGCACTGGTAGGCAATGGTATGGTATGAGTGAAAAAATACAAGCCATTAGTTGCCGTTCACATGCGATAAGAGAAAGAGAGAAAAAAGTTTTTTATTGTTTTATATTTTGATTGTCTCTCTTCTCTCTCACAGAGAGTATGGATACTATGGATAGCGAGTGGAAAAAAGTAGGGTTTTTTTGCTGTCGGTTTCCCTAATGGAGAGACCAAAAGTGCAAAAACATTAGATGTGAAATATACTATACATGTATAAAGTATATACCGTTAAGTGTATGAAATATAGTGGACACACATGAAAATCATGGACTAGAGTATTTTTCACATGCGCCTAAATTTCCGTATATTTTATACCTAATGTATATTTACTGGACATAAACCAAATCGTGAATATAAATTATATGAAATTACAATAATATATGGCAACGACAAACTTTGTTTAAGATTTATATTAAAACTTTTTTGGCCACTATTTATACGTGAATTATATGCCGAGATATTTTTCCGACACATCGATGTAATTCATTGCTAAATTTTTTTTCTTATATTGTACTTATTTATTGAATACAATTCAATAAATGCAAAGTTTGCGGTAATATTGAGCCCAAGAAAACGAGAGGCGATTATTTTTTATTGAAGTTAAAACTGATATAAATAAGAGACACATATCATAGACACTCACAAACACTGTATATATCGAAAATGCATTCAAATAAAAAATGTATCAATTTTTTCACTTTATATTTCTCGCTAACTATACATTCAATTCATTGTGAATCGTGTGATAATGAAAGCGCACATCTATTATGATGTGTTGTGGCATTTGGAGAGAGAGAGAGAGAGAGAGAGAGAGATTCACATAAATACCACAAATAAAAAATAAATCTCATTCAATATTTTTTACTCTCAACAATATATTGATATAACACAACATACTGTGAATATAAAGTGTACACAAATGTATTGCACAGACATTTATAGACAATTTATTGAAACGTCTTATAGTGTATATTGAATTGAATTGAGAGACTCGACGATAAGGAATTTGGAACTTGTTTTGTGTGTTTGGGAAATATTTTTGGTACTGGCTATAAATGACATCGTGCTATAACTACCACACTGTAAAGTACATTGCTTATAGGCAAACGAGAGACCCAATAAAGCAAATTTATTTAGTCGTTTGGCTAAAATTCTCTCTCTCTCTCTCTCTCTCCAAATGCCACAACACATCATAATAGATGTGCGCTTTCATTATCACACGATTCACAATGAATTGAATGTATAGTTAGCGAGAAATATAAAGTGAAAAATTCTCTCTCTCTCTCTCTCTCTCTCTCTCGCTCTCTCTCTCTCTCTAGCATTGATGCGATTGCTATTCAGAATGGTATCCATAATATACAAGAATCTCAAACATATCTAATTTATTTGCCGATATATTCTGTGGACTCAAACATTTCTATAGCTATTGGCCACAGAAAAGCATACTTTATTTGCACAGATATAAGACTTAAAAGAGATTCTATATATTATAGATAACTCTCTTTTATCTCTCCCCTAACTGTCCCTCTCTTTCCCTATTCATGGACCAAATTAATGATGTATTGAATCCATTGATATCTAAATCAATTATCTCTCAATCATTCATTCACTGCCGATATTTCATTTGGGATTTGGGTTAAGGATCAAAAGGGTTGTGTATGTGTGTTGTCTCTCTCTCCCACTCCCTCTCTATCCCTAATCGTATGATTGGCACAGAATCTCAATTCACTGGATATTTACAATATATAAAAGTTAATTGAAGTGAAAGACACAAACAATATATTCCGTATCCATAGTATTGATTAAAAACTCAGATTACTATCTAAAATGAACACTGATTTAGACGCTTTTATTATATTGATAGCAATTTTAATCAGCGAAGGGATTAAAAAATTAATTAAATGAAACGAAACATATATAATAATGATAAAAATCCCAGCGTTATAGAGAAAGACAGCGCACAGGGAGAGGGGAGAAGAGAGGGATATATCAGTATATATTTTAGTGTAAGAATTTTTTATCAAGTGGCTTTTCATGTAGTGAATGGCAACACATATTTTTGCTCACTATTTCTCATTAGAGGCGAAAATTTTCACGTATTTTCAACACTCATTGTTGTTAATCCCCTCCACTTATCAATCATTTATATACCCATTCAGACTGATATGTGAAGTGAAAATGGCTTTTAATAGCGGATCAAAATATAAATTATCGATATTTCATTTGGGATTTGGGTTAAGGATCAAAAGGGTTGTGTATGTGTGTTGTCTCTCTCTCCCACTCCCTCTCTATCCCTAATCGTATGATTGGCACAGAATCTCAATTCACTGGATATTTACGATATATATAAAAGTTAATTGAAGTGAAAGACACAAACAATATATTCCGTATCCAAAGTATTGATTAAAAACTCAGATTATTATCCAAAATGAACACTGATTTCGACGCTTTTATTATATTGATAGCAAAGGGATTTAAAAATTAATTAAATGAAACGAAACATATATAATAATGATAAAAATCCCAGCGTTATAGAGAAAGACAGGGAGAGGGGAGAAGAGAGGGATATATCAGTATATATTTTAGTGTAAGAATTTTTTATCAAGTGGCTTTTCATGTAGTGAATGGCAACACATATTTTGCTCACTATTTCTCATTAGATGAGAAAATTTTCACGTATTTTCAACACTCATTGTTGTTAATCCCCTCCACTTATCAATCATTTATATACCCATTCAGACTGATATGTGAAGTGAAAATGGCTTTTAATAGCGGATCAAAATATAAATTACACGAAATATGGCAAAAAACATATACACTTTACACTCACTCATGTAGTGTGTATTGTGTACTGTATATATAAAAAACTACATTATATGCCTCACGTGTGCTGTGTATTCAATTCATTACATCGGGGTTTGTATGTAATCTCGATGTCGAGTATATACAGTATATAAAGGCATGTGATGTGTGTTTTTCACAGAATATAACACTTATATTCAGTGTATATACCGACTGAATGGCTGCAAAATTTTAATTAATTCTTATCACTAGTGAAAGACTTTGTGTGTTAATAGCAGTCGTCATAAAACTACAAGTGATATGAGTTTGTAATTGAATTGAATGCCGGGTTTTTAGATGTCGAGGAGGAATGGCTGACGACAACTATTAATGCAAATATATATACACACAGAGAGAATATATACACTTATATACTGTATATATGTGTTGTGTATATAACCCCCGATAAGTTAAGCACAAGGAGTTAATTAAATGCTATGTATTTCGGGCGGCGATATAAAAGCGATGAACGGATTTAATGTCGCAAACAATTGTTGTGAGACAACAATATAAATGAGCTTATAATACGAGTTGATAGTGAAAATGACATTTAAAAATCAAATTAACTTACATGTTAGATGCAAACAAAACACACTAACCTGTGAATTTGATGGTGGTGATGTCGACCCTCAGGTTTCCGGCCGGTAGCCGCCCGTGTCGTCGCTCCAGAGCGTTGATGAATGTGAGACCAACTTCTTGGGCGGCCGTCAGTAACACTATATTCAATGCGATCCGACATTTGATGATTACTCCGGCTTTTGTCTGACTGTCACTGATGTTTGCAATGCGTTGACAAGTGATATAAGATATAATACATGTTAATATAAGTTGCATTTTTAAATTTTTATCGTCATATTTTAATTGTGTGTATTTTTCTGACTACTCTATTGTCATACAGACAGTCCGCTCCCAACTTTCAGTCATTCATTTCATTTACTCCCTGTTTATCCATTTGTTTCTCGCATTTTTGCTGATAAAATGCGGAAAATAAATGAATATATCATAGCTATGGTTAACGATGGAGTAATTTGTTGGCGATAATAAAGTTATGGGAAACGGTATGTACTGTACAGCCAGAGTGCCTAATGATGTATGTATGACCAGTATGTATGAAAAAGTCTTACCTAAACTCGTAGACTTGGGTTAAGTTATATATTTTGGCCAAAGGACTCTCCAAAAACATTTCGTCCATCTATTATATGGTGTGAGAGAGAAAATAAATGTGATTTAATTTTAATGAAATGCAATAAATAAATGCAAAATTAAATTATATAATTGCGATGAATTGAATGCGAGTTTTTATTTGTGATACACTTTCCACTAATGAGATTGTAATTTGGTTTACTTTTCTATCTATCCCTCTATAAGTCCTCACATTATTTAGAGAGAGAGAGAGAGAGATCTGAAGTTTTTGCTGAATTGTTGAACAAAAAGAAACTTTTCGATGCCTTTGAGGGTAAAGCCTTCCAGTCATTGAGAATGTATTCATTTGATTAACAAATAGTTGTTTCAGTTTTCTCTTCGCTTTTAACTAAAGAATCGCAAAGAATAATACATTTCTTTTTTATTCTCTCTCTCTCTCTCTCTCTCTCTCTCTCTCTCTCTCTCATCCTTATTATTGAATTAGTTGAACAAATAAATTAATTTGCACACAAAATATCCATACAATTGAAATGTAATGTCTATTAATTATGTAAATTCATTGTATGAATGTGTATGCGTTTGTCACCACATAAACAATATAACAGAATATTCTGGTGCTCTGATTCTGTGATCATTTTGCCGTAATATCAATGAATAGTTTATGTGTGAAATGTATGGACTATTTTGGGTCTAAATTAATGTATGCGTGAAAATACAAAATCCCTTCAAAAATCAATGATAATTGCGGTAAAGCTCTAAGCATTTCATTAAATTAATTAAATTCAATTCAAACCCTTTGACTGTTTTGTTTGAGATTTGCATAAAATTATCGACAAAATGTGTTGTTATTATTAATCATTAGTAAAATTGTATTTTGATAAACAAAAAGCTTAGCTCACAATAAATATAAAATTATATATACTTTACAGACAACTAATTTAATTCACAGCACTTTTAAATCTATTGTCGTTTAGTATATAAAATAGTTTATTATTGTTATTATAATTATTTCAAACACAGAGAACTCTATTATTTTAATTCAATTCAATTGTTTTTGGTCTCATTTGGTGTGAAAACAATGACAGCAATAATAATAATAAAACAAACAAATTTAAAACATAATAATAAATGCATAATTCATACCGATTTGACCACATCTGACGCAAACGATTCAAACTCGGGCGAAGACACGTCCGATAGGCTGTGACTATACTGGCGATTGGACAGGGTGAATTCACCAAGGATTATTCTACTACCTGCAAACACACGCAAAAATGGCATTAAATCAATACTTTAGGCAATTTATTATATGATATTCACGTAGAAATTATAGCCCAATTTTATTCCCATATAAATTAGATTAGCGTTTCATTTCATTTCGTATTATATGTTATTATTCTTTGGCTTTTAATGTAATTCTTGTGTGTATTTGTGTCTCACGTTATATGTATAATACATGTAATGTATGTCTTATGCATATATAAAGTTTGTATATATTATATTTTATACATATATGCTTTTTATACGATTGCAAATGCAAAGCGGATTCAATTTTATTCAATTTATTTTCCCATTTCTTGTTGTATAAGAAGAGGTTTTTTACTTTCGTGTTGTGTTTTGTTTTGTTGTGTATATATTCTGTTGCATATAATTTAGGGCTAATACCATATGTAACGCACGGCAAAAAAAATAAAATACAAATTCTTAAAGAATATTCTTCATATTCTGTGTTTACATATTTACATAAAATTTAAGTCACAAAACAATTCACGGGATAAGAAGTGGAAGAATATTATGTATCCGAAGACAAAAGATTTGCCTTAAAAACAATAGTTGGCTTTAATGTTATCCGCGAAATGTATTATTATATTATATAATACATTGAATTTTGCAATATTTCTCTCATGTCATGCATAAAGCAATGGATTTGTTTGCCTTTAGTCTCAAAATTGGTTTTTTCTGTGTTTTGTTTTTCGCTAATTTCTCTGCAGTTTATTTTGTTGGCTAGAAATACATTGAATACCTTTTGCCCGCATCTAATGTAATAACACTTTAATATTATACACACTTTTATTACAGATTGTATTAAACATTTTTGTGTAATTTTATTTTACATGAAATGTGTATTAAAATTTTTGAAACAAACCTTTTTCTAGTCTCTCGTCTTTTTGTTGATTCTCTAAAAATTCTGATTCAATATTTGATAACTTATTATTACTATTATTATTATTGTCGCCACTCGTCGCCGACTCGTCCCATATATTCAGGTTTTTGTTAACTATAGTGTGAGAAATGGGAATCAATCAATCGATAAGTATATGTAATTTTAAATTATAATAACAATCATAAAATATCATGTTATACACGTAGATATGGATATCGTATACGGAATATTAATTCAGACATACGTTCCCATCATTTTCCATGACATACATGAGTGGAAAAAACTATGCAATCATTAATGGTATTCATAACTCATATACCCTTTTGATAACTAGTTTTTATAATATACTCATAACAATAGTTTATTGAATGGATTTAAAGCCATTGAATCACTGTTTGATATCTTATTTTAATGCTATTTTTGCGTTCATTTCAAATCATACATAACTAGAGTTTTGAATTATTAATTTTGATAATACCTTAACAACTAATATACTGTATAATACAATAATACGAGTGCTCTCTCATTGAGAGTTGGCGTTCATGAATTAAATAGGAGGGGACGGGATATCGAGTGATATATGCATACAATCCTAATGGCAATACTGACGGTGCTGTTCATCCGTATAGTTATGAATATAAACTGAAAGCCAAAAAAATTATTATTTAGTGTACGAAACACTAGTTATATATACAAATAGAGTAGTATTTTAGGCAAAGAGTGAGTGAATGAATGAGAGAAAGAGTGGTACCAGAGATGTGAACAGAGAAAAAGTATATTCAGTATAATTCTGTATATATTCTGTACACATAACTAGTGATTGCATTTCACTCTCCAATATCTCCTGCTATGATATTAAGCCCTCCTTTCACTCCTAACAACCGATATGTCGTCCTCTCTCTCTCTCTCTCTCTCTCTCTCTCTATTTTAACTTTATGTTTACAACTGACTTGTATATCCATTAGTGAACATTCTCTCTCTCTCTCTCTCTCTCTATTATATACTTTACTACTTTTCTCATCGAAAACATTATTCAACAAAATATATGAACACAAAAGCCTTTTCCATTTGCCTTATAATAAGGAATACAACGAGTTTTCAGCGGAATTGATTTGCCTACCAGTGCTCTCGGCCTACCATTTCAATTGGGAAACGGATAGTGGAGTCGATATATAGATATTAAAGACTACTCTCGTTTGAATCCAATTATTTTTATACCAATCTCTCTCTCTCCAACCCATTGTTTGCCTTCAAGTTTCTCTATATTTAATTTTAAACTCAATTTTTAACCCTTATATCCTGTGTTGTTAGAGAGAGCGAGAGAGAGAGAGAGAGAGAGAGAGAGAGAGTCCCTCAATATATAAGATAACTAATCGATAATCCATTACATAATAAACACACAAATTATATAATTAAACGTATGATTACTATTAGATTATTATGTTTGGCAAAACTTATGGGCAATAATTTATATGTAGTTTATATTTCCATAGCAAAAGAAATTGTCGTTTAATTTATTGCAGATTTTTTACGATAAAAATTCACAGAAAAACACATAAAATATTTTTTGATATAAAACTTTTTTTAATATTATTTTATATATTTTATATATTCTTTTTGATGTAATAAGTAGTAAAAAATTATGTTTGAAACGAAAAAATGTTTTTTATGACATAAATAGTTGGAATATTTTTAAATCAATGGCACAGAAGTATTCCGGAGAGAGAGAGAGAGAGAGAGAGAGAATGTTCACTAATGGATATACAAGTCAGTTGTAAACATAAAGTTAAAATATAATTTTGTCAAAAAATTAAATCTTTTTTCTTATCACAAACTGTTCGTACAATTCATTAAAAAACTAATTTAAGTATTGAATTAAATGTGAATTCATTTGCGAATTATATGTAATTTATTTATATGAAAAATAAGCTAAATGTTATATATTAAACCTAGACGAGTTTTGTGCCATTATATTTTCTAACTAGTGCTGAAATAATAAATTAAATACAAATTCAATTTACATTTGATTTTTCTAAAAAGTCTGGGGAAACGAAAACTACTAAAAATTATTGTAAAACAAAAAATATAAGACGTTTTGTTTCAAAGCAATTAATTTAATTGCATTGACTTTTGAGACACAAAAGCAAAAAACAGATTTTAGTTTATTTCAAGTAAAATATATTTTATGCATAAAAATGTTTGCATAAAATTTCAATTCAAACTAATTGACTGAACAAAGGCTATGCATTGAAAAGCATAACAAAACTTAACAAAACTTAACATAACAATCGATGGATTCAATAATTGTCTCATTAGACTAACTACTGGTGTCTCTTAAATGCAAAAAAGCGATACATTTTTGTTTAAAAAATTGTTGCAAAAGAAATGCAATGATAGGGAAAAAACTACTGTTTTTCGTCTTAACATTAATCCTAAAAGTTTTAGTTGTTTTTTACAATGTTTTATACAAGACTTTTCACTTCAAACGACTGAATGAATGTTATATTTTTAACGATACGTTTTTTAGCTAAAAAATTAATGAAATATTTTACTCTACAATGAAAGAGAGCACTCATTTTAAAAGCAATTTTTGTATTATATTTTCCACTTTAATTACAAACGAAAACAAACTATATTTTTGCGATAAATGTGTGCAAAAAGTATATGAAAACTGAAATGACTGCAGATTTTATGCCAAAAAATATCAAAATCTAGTTTTAATTTAATACAAACATGAGATTTATGTTTAACTGTTATATAATTTTATTTATGAAATCAAGAATATTCTGTTCCACTAATTAATGCCATGAATTTGTTAATTCGTAAGTATATTAAAAATAATTATTATAGTAATAATAATATTAAATCCATTGTGAATTTGGGTAGTATTCCCAACATTAGTGTATGTATTGAACAACTTCTACCGTTATTATTAAATTTTAGACAATTCACAGCAAAAAATTATCCAATTTTCAATTTAAAGTAAATATAAAGCATAATAAAGAAATAATGTAATTATAATATATAATGTTATTATGAGATTTATAGCGAGGAGAGAGTATTGATACCAAAAGGGCAATGAAAAAATTGCGGCACTCATTAAGATTGTTAAAAGTGATTGTGATATTAATATAACTACACAATAGACTTTAGCAATAAAATAGAGAGAGAGAGAGAGAGAGAGAGAGAGACTTATTTGAGCATAACGTTTTTTGTGCAACACTACATAATAAGGTGCACTTGTATTGAATCCATACCGTAAGGCCAATGCACTGCTAATGCCATCAAAAAACTTCTTACATATATATTTGTTATGCCTTTTTTGTATACATATATTATTTTCTATACGACTTCCACATACAGTATATATAGTATTACATAATATATAAGACTTTTTATTGAGTTGTGATATTAAGCTCTCAATTTCACTGTCACTGTTTAAGACCGTGTTTTATATTAAGCCTCATATAAAGTGTTCCCGTAATGAATGCAATGTGTTTTAATGTCATTTGTTAGCTCTCTTTCATTTCCCCTCTATTACCTTTGCTCTCTCTCTCTCTCTCTCTCTCTCTCTCTCTCTCTCTCTCTCTCTCTCTC